ACTCAGGTTTTCCTGGTACCTAAGCTGAGCCTAAAGCATCCTTAGGATCCTAAAAGCTAAAACAGAAGATAAATACTAGAAAAGAAAGGTTTATGATTAAAAAATGTGCCAACTGATTATTTTCTAACATATAAGAAAGTCACTTCTATAAAAAGAAAACTACAGTTCATGCTAGCAAGTTTAATATATGAACAATATTTTGATTAGGAATAAAACTGTGAAAATGAATATCAAAAGGAATATTTAGATCTGCTATTCCAGGCTTCCAATTCTTGGCAGCCGGCTGGCTAATAAAAATGCAAGGGGTAGTTGGCAAGACTATATAGGCTATTGAGATATTTACAACTACTAGGGTCTAAAAAAATTTTTTTAACTTTTTTTCAATATTTGTATTAAATATACAAATAAAGTTTTCTAATTATTTAATATGAAATTTCTTGCTCTATTACTGAACTCAGGAAAAAAAGATACTATTTAAATGGAAAAGATAAGCATGATTATTGATTTCAACTTAAAGACAGCTAAATGAAAAGCAAGCACAGGTATTGCCAAGAATCTCTTTCAATCCAGTAGTAGTCAACATAAGACTATTCATGAACCCTAATCTCATTTGAAATAAATGATTTATTTAGGCTCCAATTTATCATATTCATAGTTAAAAGTGTACGGCTTACTGTGGTCTTTACCAGCAATTTTCTGATAACATCTATATCTGGTCATAACATTTAGTGACATTATTCAATGTTTTTGTTTCAGATATTTCACATGCTAAATTAAAACATATATATCCATCTGGGGACAGAGAATAAAAAACACAGCTTGCAGAATTCATTTTCCACAAATTATTTGGATTTTTCCGGGCTAGATTATCAGGACACATTAATAAAGGGATTTTTTGGTAAAGGAAATGTAGATTTCTAGTATGTACAACTAACTTCCTTATGGATCCAACTCTTCCACAAATAACAACTATAATTTCTGGACAAAATGCAAAACAAACAAAAAAAAACAAAAGCACCCAGGTGACCATAAATAGGAAAACGGCTCGGCAAACTGTGGTACACGCAAACAGCAGAGTATGACTGACCAATTAAAAACAAGAACCACTGAGACAAGAAACAACATGGTGAATCTCGAAACCATTAACGTAAGCAAAAAGAGTCTCACACAAAAAAGTACATATGGTACGATTCCTTTTATGTGGAACTCTCAAAGAAACAAATCTAATCTATAGTAGGGAAATAAAGCAAAACAGTGGTTGCCTCTGGTGTTTTAGGCAACTGACTCTGAAGGGGCACGTAGAATTTTCCGTAGTTTGATAGGGGGTTTTGAGTTACACAAGTGTATGCATTTGTCAAAACTCAAGCAAAGTACAGTTAAGATTTACGTACGTTATGACCTATAAATTTTACCTCAAAAGAAAAAAATGCAAAATATTGAACTCTATTTACGACATGCATGATAAAGTATTTAGGGAGACAGTGTACTGATGGCTGCAATTTACCTTGAAATGCATCAAAAATAAGACAGACTAATGAACAGAGGGGTACAAACAGATGAATAAACATGTGACATAGCAAATATACTAAAATATTAAAGGCAAAATCTTGGTGTGGATGGATATAAGAATATTTACTGTAAACTCCTTTCAAGTTCAAAATTTTTCATAAAAATGTAAGAGGCCCTCCCCCCCAAAAAAGAAGATAAATGACACTAGATTAATTCAGAACAACTCCTGTCTGACTAACATCATTTCCTTTCTTATTTTAACAGGCTTACTACCAGACTGGTAAATCGAGAAACACAACTGACAACATATTTGGACCTCAATAAATTTGGATCTCTCTTTATATTCTGATCAAAGCAAAAAAACCCAGATTGCATAAATAATGATAATATTAAATATATTATAACAGAATTAATGATGCAATAATATTTAGTTAACAATATAATATATAATTAATAATATATAATTGTAACATACAATTATACAGTATTATTATATAACGATAAAATTGTTGTACAACACTCTTTACTAGACCGCCTCCTAGCCCTTCATATGTATTAACTATTTAATCTCTGCAAAAGTCCTATGGGGTAAATACTATTATCCACATTTTACTAACGGGGAAACTAAGGCATGCATATGCTAGGTAATTTGCTCAATGTCACATACTTAGTAAGTGTCAGAGCCAGAAATTAGAATTCAAAGAGTCTGAGTCAGAACCCCTGCTCTTAACCACTTCCCTGTGATTGCTCTGTTAGTTGACTTCATAACTGACATAATATATGGCATTCTTAAGTTTGTGGATGACATGGAACTAGGAGCAAAAGCAAATATGTTACTTTACAAATTATCCAAAAAGATTAAGGGTCATACACATAAGAGACTGTAACAAGATAAAATTCCATAGGGATCAAATATACGATCCTGCATTTGAGTACAGAAAACCAACTATACCTCCAGTGAGAGCACTGGTACACAGCAGGTTTTTGGCAAGAATCTGTCAAATGAAAATATGATTGAATGACAAAATAAAGAGAATGTGTGAAATAGAGACACTTTAATAAACCAAAAGCAAAATATGAACTTAATAAATAATGCTATAAAATGCTAATATGTAATTATGTCATCTAGCAGTAGGTTAAATGAGAGCCCTACTACAAGACTATTGGGGTCAGACCAATTCCAGAAATACTGTGTAAATTCCTGGGAACTACATATACAGGTAAACTGGAACAAGTTTAGAGCAAAAGTGCAGAACATAAACTGCATTATTTCAGGTATAACTGAAGAAGCTGTGAACATATAATGTGGAGAAAAGAATTCAAGTGAACAGGGTAACAAACTTCAAAATGTAAGGTACTATTATAAAAAAGAAGGATCATAATTATTCTGTAATTGCCCTTAAGAATAAAAATAAAAACTGCCAACTGGGATTAGCTACAAGGGTTTCGGGAGAACAAATTCAGTGCCAACACAAGGAAGACTTTTCCGACAGATAGGACCACAAAAAAAAGGCGGGGAAGAAGGAACAACCTCACAAGGGTATGAATACCCTAAATGGGATAAGGATAACTCAGTGAAAGATTAGACCAAAATAACTTAAAGATCTCGCCCAAATCTAAGAACTTACTATGTAATAAAAGGTAATTTTTATACATTTCTGTCACAAAGAGTTCCAGGTTGGTTAAAATAGATACCATTCACCAAAACACACTCGCAATGATAAAACTTAAATGTGAGGAAAAAAATAAAAGTTATTTGTCAAGTCTGCAAATGGGGAGAGCTTGAAGATGAAAAACATCGGAAGAATATTCAAAAGAAAGGAAAAACAAACTTGTCTACATCAATACTTAAAACTTTTACATATAAGAATATTAAAAGGCAAAGAGTAAGCTGTGCAATTAGGACAAATGGATTATATCTAATATTCAGCTACGCTCTACGGGACAGTAGCCACAAGCTACACGTGGCTATTGCAATTCAAATTAATTTAAATTGATCTTCAATCGATTAAACACTAAAAATTTACTTCCTCAATTGCACTAGCCACATTACAAGTGGTCAATAGCCACTCTGGCGAGTGGCTACTGTATCGAACGCTGAAGATACAGAACATCTCCATCATTGCAGAAGTACTACTGGAACTTTAATATTCAAAACAGATTAATTTAGTTCAGGGAATTCACTATATAGTTAATCGGAGAGCTGAGATGCCAATAGGCATTGTTGTGCAGGAATCCAGAGACGAGGAACAACAGGAAGCCATTACTATCCCTAAGACAGAGGACAGAGTACAGAGTCCAAAACCCAACATCACCTGGCAAAAGCTGGGATCACAGCAGGTGTGTTGGGTGGGGGCTGGAAACCAGGATAGGAAGCAGCCCCTGCTGGATAAACACCCTGTCGTAAAAAGAGGGGAGGAGATATCCCGACTTCTCTCCTCCTCTGCCCTCCAATCTCCTGCCAGCACCTTCTATGGCTGAACCCAGACACGACCCAAGAGGAGCGTGGGAAATGCAAACCATTAGGGTCAGACCCTCTGTTAAAAAGTGCAGAACAGGGAAAAAAGAACTAGAGTGTCAAACAGGCTAAAGCCTGGCACAGGTACAAGGAGAGAATTTAAAGAAGAAAACCCACAAATGCCCAACATCTAAGAAATGTCCAACCTTACCTGTAATTAAATATAAATTAGAACAATTACTATTAAAACAAAATAATATTAAACTAACAATAATAAATGATAATGCAGGTACTTCGTGCTGAAAAGGATATGGCAAAACCAGACACACTCATACACTCCTAGGGAAGGAAATCAAGTCTCAAAATTTTTCAGAGAAGTGTGAACAAATTTGCAATTAGCATCAACAATATTTTCACTGTTTACACTGTTAAACCAAATGAAAGCAGGTCCAAGGATAAAATCCAAAGTCCAGAAAATCTAAATTTCAGAAAATAATTCAAGAAACAAGGTTGCTCACAGCAGCTCCATCATATTGAAAAAAAATGAACAACCTCAAAGTTGGCCAGTAAGTCAGCAGTTATGTAAATTAAGGTACATTAAAAAAACAACAGTAAGATAAAATAAATTAAGGTACATTTATCCATTTATCAAAAAATAACAAGTGCTTCTTGCCAGCCACAATGATAGGTACTGGAAGTATAAAAAAATGAGCAAGTACTAATAGACGAATTTGTATCCATTTAAATAATGTTTAGAAAGAGTTTCAACAAAGTAAGGATGTGTTTATGACATGCCTACTGAATAACATTGAATCTGAAATTGATTATACTCACATTAAACAAAATATGCCGGAAGGTTAGTGAGTAACAGTGATTAGCTCTGAGCGGTAATTTTATGAGGTTTTATTTTTCCTTCTTTATACTTTTCTGAACTTTCAAAATTTTCAAAATGAATTTTACAGTTCTCCTTCAGAGCTATTAATGCAAATTACAGTTTAAGAACTGTAAACTCTCCACAATAGTGCTAGTTTACCTGTTGCAATAATAAACCGCATTATTTGGATCCAGTTCTATTGCCTGTGTGTAACAATCCACAGCAGCAGCAAAATTCTCTTCTTTCATGTGGTTATTGCCTGAAATAATCAATATGTACAGTAAATACAATATACACAAAAAATATAAAGTCCAAAAGATAAATGTGAATCACAGAAACTACAATAATATGAAGGTCAGCAAGATGATTTTTCTAATTTTTTTATTTTATTTTTTTAAAGATTTTATTTATTTATTTGACAGAGATAGAGAGAGAGAGCACAAGTAGGCAGAGCGGCAGGCAGAGGGAGAGGGAGAAGCAGGCTTCCCGTGGAGCTGGGAGCCCAATGCGGGGCTCGATCCCAGGACCCTGGGATCATGACCTGAGCCGAAGGCAGACGCTTAACCAACTGAGCCACCCAAGCGCCCCAATTTTTTTTTAAGTAAACTCTGTCCACAATGTGGGACTTGAACTCATGAACCCGAGATCAAGAGCCACATGTTCTAAACTGAGCGAACCACACGCCCCATCAACATGATTTTTCAGTGGCACTAGAGATAAATGTTATATACGGCTGATACTCCTCAGCCGTCAGTGTGTTTGAATGATTTTAATAATGCAAAGTCTTAAAATAATTAATGTTTGCATGCCTTATAAAATCCAGGTTTCAATCAGTGAGTAAATGCAACAATTATGAATATCTCGTGGCAAAATCGAATCTCTTCTCACCTTCCTTGTCTTCATCTCTCTCCTTTCTTTTTAGAGCTGCCCACCCCATTCCAGATGCAACACCCTTCTCAGCCATCATCTCAATGTGGACCCCCTCTTCCACTCCTTCCCTGTCAAAACATACACCTGCTGAAAAGCCAAGCCCTCAGAACTCTGTTGTGTGGGGAAGCTGGGAAAATTAATCATGTTAATATGTTATTGGCAGATATTTTTATGTGCTACTCCTTCCAGAGATAGATTTTTAAAAGGGGATTGTTGGACATTAATTTCTAGAAAGAATTTCAGATACCAGGGCTAGCCCACAGGGTACTAATCATCAAGAAGGGCATCTACAGATACATCTGGCAATAATTTAGCTAGTGTAACAACGGGCCAGCAAAATAAGGGATTTCCTACGGCTATCTTCTGTATTCCATGAAATGGAAAAAAGTGTCCTGCTCACTGAAGAACCACTGTTCAAAATCTAAATTTTAAAACACTGCTTAAGAGGAAGGATTAAATCACAAAAACCTGAATTATTCCTTCTGACTTTCTCTAAACCAGAAACTCTCTATTAGCTAGGTCTTTTAATAGATCATTGGCTACTTAATAGGAAGAGGAGGGTATATAACTTTATGAGGAACAAGAGCAGGAAGATTAAAGGAAACACAGATAGACAAAAGCATCTAAAATTATGCAAAAGTAGGGTAACTGGGAGGCTCAGTCTGTTAAACAAAGTCTGACTCTTGATTTCAACTCAGGTCATGATCTCAGGGTGAGATCGAGCCCCTGCATCAGGCTACACGCCTAAAATTCTCTCTCTACCCCTCCACACTTTTCTCCCCAAAATAAATAAATAAATAAATAAATAAATAAATAAATAAATAGATAGATAGATAGATAGAAAAAATCATGCAAAAAGTTACTGCAAATTAAGAATCAGAAATGAATATAAAGAGTGACCACTAGAGGCACCGGGGTAGTTCAGTTGGCTAGACATCCGACTCTTGATCTCCACTCAGGTCAGGATCTCAGGGTGGGGGCATTGAGCCTCACGTGGGGCTGTGCACTGAGCGTGGAGACTGCTTAGGATTCTCTCTCCCTCTCCCTCTGCCCCCACTCACGCTTGCACAGGCTCACATGCACTCTCTCTCTCTTAAAAAAAAAAAAAAGTGACCACTAATAGCTACATGGTTTCTTTTTGAGGTGATAAAAATGTTCTATAATTGTGGTAATGGTTGCACAACTCAATGAATATACTACAAAACCAATGAATGTGTACACTTTAAAGGAGTAAATTGCATGGTATGCAAATTATAGCTCTTAATAAAGCTGGGGTTTTTTAGATTGATTTCTTTATTTTAGAAAGAGAAAGAGCGAGTAGGAGGAGGGACAGAGACAGACGGAGAGAGAATCTCAAGCAGACTCCCCCTCTGAGTGCGGAGCCTAAGGCAGGGCTTGATCCCAAGACCCGGAGATCACGACCTGAGCCAAAACAAAGAGTCAGATGCTCAACTGACTGCACCACCAAGGCGCCTCTCAATAAAGCTGTTTTGTAAAAACTCAAAAGAAAAGTAATTTAGATCCCCACCCCCCAAAAGTAACAACTATAAAACCTCTAAGGAAGCTAAGAGGATTGCATAGTTTTTATGACAGAGCAAGATAATATTAACTACATGAGCCTAGGTACTTAAATAGGTTTGTTTTTCCTGTGCAAGAGGAATTTTCTGGGTTATGTGGATTTTCTTTTTGCTCTTGGACGTTTTCATCTTGGGTTCTTAGGGAGTCCTCTGGGTCCATTATAGATCCCAAAAGTTAAAACCAGAAATAGACAGGACCACTTAACTCATGTTTGAACTAAAATCCATTGTGCTTATTTCTTACCACACTTTCTTGAGGCAACGATGAAGGTGTTGTGCAATGACCAGAACATTCCCACCGCCAGGCAAGAAAAGCACTGATAGTAAGGGAATGCCTAGAAGACCACACACCGCAAGTCCCCTTCCCTACCCATGATCATGTGCTGAAAACATACCGATCCGCAGCTGTGATCACGCACTCCCTGCCTGCTCTCTGGCACGTACTCCCCTAACCTCTCCCTGTAAAACTCTAGGTGTCCACCTTGTGGGCAGATAGGTGGGTTGTTAAGGCTTGAGAGGCCACCTCCCCTAGCTGCCGGTACCTGAAATAAATTTCTCGTTTCTCTTTTCCAAACCCTCCTCTCTTGAGTTATTGGCTACTCCCGCAAGAGTGTGTCTGAGTTTGTTCGTGACAGTGTTGGCAAACCCAGCCAGGAGCTGTGCTTCTGATTGTCCAGTCCCCTTGGTGTTCCCAGAGACAGAGAAGCTGGTCCCAACAGCACCAGGGTTCACCCACTCCTTTCCTGAGTTAGCAGTTGTGACAGATCGTTCGCTAATAGGGTGGCATTGTTATCATCGTCATCATCATTATTAATTATTAAAATCTATTGTATGTCTTTTCCTGTAAACCATCACATCAAATGTCTACATACTATATGTATATATATATATATATTTATATACATTAACAAAAAGCCTAAAGTCACAAAATATCTAACCTACAAAACTTCAGGACACAGATGAAGAAATTTGTAAAGATAAATATAACTGAACATTGTGTAGCACTTTATGCTTACGTGGTACTCTCCTATAAAATTGTCTCCACTGATCAAGACAACCTGTAAGATATGCCTAGACTTTTGTGATGTGTCAGGGAATGACAGAAATGAAACCATCTTGGTTTTGTCTGATCTTACTGAGGCTCTTCAGAAATAAAACACACAAAAATATTTGAAAGCAACATTTCAGGAAGGTACTAGCTGGTTAGAAGCCTTGATTAACACAGATAAGTGGAACACACAGTCTGGAATAGCCTAATGCTTGACAATCTACAATGGCCTTGTGGGGCTCTGCACTGGGTGTGGAGTCTGCTTGAGATTCTCTCTCTCCCTCTCCCTCTGACCTTCCCCCTCTCCCCTCTCCTCCTTCCCCCCAGCGCACACTCAAATAAAATAAAATAAAATAAAATAAAATAAAATAAAATAAATAGTAATTGCTTTAACTTTGTGTGTAGCGTGTCTTAGATGTGACATGTCTTAGGGAAAAGAAAGAATAAAAGCTTTTGGTTAAAGGCGAAAGCAAGAGTAGTTCAGTTACCCATTCTGGAACAGTAAATGACTCTCTGCATATCCTCCTAATCCTCATCTTACCAACATTCACTATATCATAGCAAACTGTGTGGGCAATGCAATCTCCTGCAGAGGGAGTAAACATGAGGGACAAAAATAAAATTTCAATTTGCCATTTATTCAATATTACCCTCAGTGATTTCACACACTCCAAAACTGAGCAAGAAAAAAAAAAAAAAAAAAAACATCAGGTTAAGTTGTTTCTATTAGAAACTAAATATATGGAAAATGTATTTCTATCTGGATAGCTTAAATTCAAATTCTTTGGAGAGTACTCTTGATTCCAATGACAATAAGGATCTGCTTCTTGCTTAATTTTTTTTAAAAGATTTTATTTATTTATTTGAGAAAGAGAGAGCACAAGTGGGGGCAGGGGGACCTGCAGTGGGAGAGGGACAAGCAGACTCCCCACTGAGCAGGGAAACCAACGTGGGGCTCAATCTCAGGACTTCAGGACCACGACCTGAGCCAAAGGCTTAAATGTTGAGCCATCCAGGCGCGCCTGGTTGTTGCATATAATTTGTGAAAGCCATCATTCTAAAATTTTAAGTCACTATAGTAGTATTTCTTAGAGGAAATAAGAAATTGAAAATCGAAAGCAGTGTGTTTGTTGGAAAGACAGAACTTTATGATGCAATCCTACGACAATAATCAAGTAATAGTAAAAATGCAAAGATGTTAAGACAATGTTATTTAGGATTACAAAATTATCTATCTAGGTAAGTCAATCATGGTCTTACAGTACCATGGAATACTATGTGGCCATTAAAAAGTGATATAGGTATGTATTTATAAATTTAATAGAGAGGTTAAGTCCTGAGGAATAGGAAAAGCATTCTCTCTTCCATATCTACCACTTTAGACACCAACTATTTTTTTTTTTAATAACTAAACTACCTTCTTCAGTGTAAAGAAAAACTACCTCCTTCAGTGTAGGGAAAAGTCCAAAAAAATGGTTCTGAACCAATTCTGTATATCTTCGGAACGTGGCATATTCCCTAATAACTCTCTGCCTATAGGACAGGGAATTTCTTGGCTCTCATTCACTGCTAGTATCAAAACTGCTCCCCAGTTTCTTAGTACAAATCTTGTATGCCTGACCTGACTCTCCTCTATAGCTAAACATAAATGACATGAAAGAAAAATTGAACACAGATCCTCAACAGCGACTTATTTATTAGAACCAAGAATGCTTCAAGAGCCACTATTAGAAGATGTAGTAATATAGTAATTAAATGTGCTAGCTAATAGTTAAGTGCCATATACATGCATTAACAAATTTCAAAGAACTCAAAAACACTAAATATACAAGAGTTAAAATAATACTGAAAATTATTTTCATCTCTTTAAGCATAAAAATAATTTGGGATCCTAGAGTACACACAGCAAATTCAGTTATAAGTAATTACCCCTTAAGTTACTTGTTTTTCAAGTTTTATTCACAACAGATCTGCTTCTCTTGAAGCAAAGCATAACTATATTGCTCACAAGCCATTCTATGTTTCTAGGCTTCTTCCCTATCACATCTATCTCTGTTTCACAAATACCATGTGGTCTTATGACAATCCAGTCTTGGCAGTATAAACCAGAATCTTATCAACTGACAGAGTCATTTTCTCCAGAGTTTCAGAAAGTTTTACTAAATAAGTAATTTCTCTATGAAATCCTCACCTTCATCTTTTAATTGGTCAGCTTTTCCCACATCTTCAGGCACTGAGTTTGAGAGAGGCAGAATGTCATTCTGAAATTAAATAAGAATCAATGTATTTCCATTTAGCTACATAAAAGAGTCATCCCACAGAACTATAAATAATAATGAATAACTAGTACAGTAACTCATCTGTAATTACATGTAATGAAATTTAACTTGTAAATAAATGGGTTAGAAAGAAATAGGGTAAAAGTCCTCTCATACATACTTTTATTAGAAAAATGAATATGTAGAATTTCTCTAGAAAATAATGGACTACTGTGAATCAAAATTTTTTACTTGCTTTTCTGAGATCAAAAAATTCTACTTCATGCACAACAAATATAAATAATCAGTACACTTAAAATACTATAACCATAGGGCGCCTGGGTGGCTCAGTTGGTTAAGCGACTGCCTTCGGCTCAGGTCATGATCCTGGAGTCCCGGGATCGAGTCCCGCATCGGGCTCCCTGCTCGGCAGGGAGTCTGCTTCTCCCTCTGACCCTCTTCCCTCTCGTGCTCTCTATCTCTCATTCTCTCTCTCTCAAATAAATAAATAAAATCTTTAAAAAAAATAAAATAAAATAAAATACTATAACCATAAAATAAAGGCAAATTATAACATGGGTAATGGAAATAAATTGACTAGTTTACATTTATGCTACAAGTTTATTATGTATTTTATTGACAAATACATTTTTAGCGAATGGAAATGCTTCACTATTTTTTTTTTTAAGATTTTATTTATTTGTCAGAGAGAGAGAGAGCACGAGCAGGGGGAGCTGCAGGCAGAAGGAGAAGCAGGCTCTCCACTGAGCAGGGAGCCCAATGCGGGACTTGATCCCAGGACCCTGAGATCATGACCTGAGCCGAAGGCAGTCGCTTAACCAACTGAGCCACCCAGGTGTCCCTGCTTCACTGTTTTTAAATGAACATGCTGTTGGAAATAAATTCATTATATTTATAAATAAAAACAGGATATTTTGTTATCCAGATTATGTATTAGCTATAGTCGTGAAGCTTTGTTTTTCTGAAATTCCTAATAAATTCTATTAAATTCTGGTAAAATAAATAAATAAATAGCTAACCAATATACAAAGACTAGGAATAGAAATATGTTCAAGAGATTGTTTATATTAGTGAAAATCTTGAAACATAATGTTTAATATCCAAAGAAATATCCTAGTAAGTCAAATTCACAGTTTACAAAAAGAAGCATTAATAATATGACCCTATTATTTAAATATGTGCACAAACACATACACATGCACACAGGCTAAAAAACAAAGACAGGAAAATTCTAACACAAAAGGTTAACTGTAATATTCGGAGGTAAAATTTTCAGTCTCTTCTTTATATCTTTCCACGTTGACTAAATTTTTTTAAACAATGGACATATATTAATTTCACCATAAAATAAAAAAACAATGTAAATTTCCTGTTTTCAGTAGTTACTATCATCCTCAAACCTCCTTTGCATTCATAAGGTTCAAACCAAAGGCGCATGCAGAAATATCTTGAGTGGCACTGGGAACACAATGCATTTTTCCATTTTTGAAAGATCTTTTTTAAATTGTGCTCCTTTACACTTGACTCCGAAGTTCATGAGTAAATCTACAGTTTTTCAAGAAAACATAATTTGTAACTAATATACCTATGTACTACATTTAGAATATGTCCACCATGTTCTTTGTCTTGACTAAGGTTTCACAGAACTTGATAACTCTAATGATGGAAATATACTTCTCTAATTACACAAAAATTTTCACAAGTATAAAATCATTCATCAAGTACATGAGTTCTTCTTATTTTTTGTAATCTTCCTCTACTAATCAGTTTTTCTAAACATAAAGTATCGGAATAAAATGGAATAAAAAAGTACAGAATCGAAATGGGAATCCTTGTAACTAGAGGTCACTACTTAAAACTGACTATGGTCTCCTAGGATGTAAGTGTAGTTCAAGGACACAGGACTGCCCTGCGTACTTGCTGCCAGGGTTTCTTCCATTTCACATTCTTCTAACAAGGCTGGGCATTTAATACATGGGGGAAAAGTGGCTTTTTTGAGTCACAAAAACGGCATATTGATAAATGGACTCTAATCAGTTCTGTCTTCTAAATCCTTCTGAATTATTTTTATGAAATTGCCACAGTTTTACATCTTTGAAAACTAATTCTCACATTCATTCAATACATTTGAGCAGCCCATAACGTGGGGACGAGGGTTATCTACTTTATATAAAAGGAATGAATCCATTTAGTATATAAACTTAACTGGGGAGGAAAAACACAAGAGCAGTATCCTAAAACTAAAATGACCAACATAACAACCAAGGACACTTGGTGAGACGAACAATTTCTTTTTTTCTAAAGTTTTTATTTTAATTCCAGTTAGTTAACATACAGTATTATATTAGTTTCAGGTGTACAATATAGTGATTCAATAATTCCATACATTACCTGGTACTCACCACAAGTGCCCTCCTTAACCCACCACCTGCTTCACCCATCCCCCACCTTCCACTCCTCTGGTGACCCTCAGTGTGTTCTCTATAGTGAAGAGTCTGTTTCTGGGTTTGTCTCTCTTTTTTTACCCTTTACTTGTTTGTATGCTTCTTAAATTCCACACATGAGTGATATCATATGGTCTCTTTCTCTGACTGACTTATTTCGCTGAGCATAATACCCTCTAGCTCCATCCACGTCATTGCAAATGGCAAGATTTCATTCTTTTTGATGGCTGAATAGAGACAAATAATTTCTTTAATTATAACAATTTTGATGCTGCTTCGGGCAAGTTTGAGACTCTCTCTAAGGTACTCTGCTAACAAACACGTATGTGATGAAGTTGCTGCTGTTAAATAAGAATAACAAAGAACGGACACCACAGATAACACTATGCAGACATACAATGGAGCCAGTTCCAGGAAATTATATTTTAAAAATAGTAAGTAAAAAATTTTTACAATTAAATATAATCAGAGGGAAATAGTAAGAGAGAAAGAAAATAGAGCCCTACTTAAACAGAATGCAAAAGTCAATTTGAGCCTACTGGGAGGTAAAGAAAAAGTTCTGATCTCTTTAGTATGAGGTCAACAGTGACAGGAGCTAAGGAATGAGCAAATCTAAATGTTGTCTCAAGCACAGGCCTCTTGGGCATCTAGGAGTTAAATAAAGTCAGCTTCAACCATGGGCATATCCAACCACTGAAACGGGGCTCCCTAAGGAGGCCAGAAGCCCAGACAATCAAAGAACCACAGCAACCGAAGCAAAGCAAAGAGGAATTCTCTGATGGGGAGCACATAGACACGTCACTATCTCCTTACATCTTTGTCATAGAATTAGAATTAATCCGTCTGATAACTGCACTATTCTTTTTTCTAAGTACAGAAAGAACAGTATATTGCCAAATTGCCATCTTCATTGCAACTCTCAGAACCTCTTCCAATAAGTTCTAGAAACAGTCAATGTGGTAGTCTCATCAATGTCCCTGCCAGGCTGAAGCATACACTACATGCTGTAGCCTCTCGCCTCAGTTCCTCATTCTGTATTGAAGCTTGAATACAGAACTAGAATAACAAAAGGAGTTCATGAGGCACCAAAATGTAATGAAAAAACACAGGGGAGGTCACCCTGGGGCCCTAAAGTCAGTAACCTTAAAATTTTTCAGACAGTTTAAGGGACACCTGGGTGGCTCAGCTGGTTAAATGTCAGACTCTTGATTTCGGCTCAGGTCATGATCTCAGGGTTGTGAGACTGAGCCTTCCACGGGGCTCCGCACTAGGCATGGAGCCTGCTTAAGATTCTCTCTCTCTCCCTTCTCCTTCTACCCCTTGCTGCTCCCTGCTTATGCTACTCTCTAAAAATCAATCAATAAATAAAACTGTCTTTGAAAAAAAATTTTTTCAGGCAATTTTATGGTCCATGTTCCCTAAAAAGGCCAGAAACCAGAGACCATTGTAAACAGTTCTCGAGAGCACGGATATCAGAAAACTTGGTTTTCAGCGTTACTTTTTGCACAATGACCTTGAGCTTTCCCCTGTTTTAAAGAGCCCTATCAATGGCCAAATTTGATGAAATCTGCTTCAAAATGATGATTCAATTCCTGACGAATCTATTTTTACATAGTTGCTTCGTAAACAGGAAAATTTTGTTTTTAACCTGTATTCCATGTCAGAAATCTAAAAATGCTCAGATACTATAAAGGACATAAAAAGCAACTAAGACATATCATTAAATATAAAAGAAGGTGAGAGGATGTGAATAGCTACTAATATGAAAATCTAAAGCATGTTAAAATTATATTTTAGGTCCCCAATCACGTCCATGTGACTATCTAACTTAAACCCAGGAAGAAGTTAGTTACGTAAAGGCCTAGTCGCTCAAATGTTAACAACTCAACATAATTATCATAGTCATACTTAAATCAGATACTAATGAGAAAACAGTGACAGCTTACCTTACAGAAGGAATTGGTGAACATTTCTGTCAAAGGCTGTGACACTGCTAGATGGGTATCTTCTAGGCTGATTTTAAAAACTGTCTCCAAGCACTGAATTGCAACTTGAAATAAATTTGAATAGTGAAAAAAAAAATTAGCAACCTAAAAAAAGAAATGACCTTTTTTTTCTGGTAGAAATCTGCACTCAGTGCAATCTGTGGTAATTCAGTATTTATGATCAGAGAACATAAGGAAAAACTAAATGGTTCAGCTACATAGAGATTTCTGTTTATAGACCAGCTGCTAAGGGAAGACAACTTGATTTCTTATTCCTTACTTAAGGAAAAATGTTACCTAGAATATAATTTCTCAATATATCCATTACATCATATTCTTATTGAAGCAGGTCATTAACAACAACTGATTCCTCTCCGCCAATATCTGATTAACCACCAATGTTCTAACGCCTTGAATAAAACAAAAAAATCTTCTTTTTAATGTGAGAAACAGAATTCTCAACCTGACCAAAAATAGTAACAGAAACAAATTCTGGCTCATAGGAGGCACTAAATATTAATCCTGGCATATTTACTTAGGTGAAAATAGGTGGGCTTTAAAAAAATTCATTCATGCCTCCAAATTTACCCCAAGCTCCTACGATGTGCAAGGTGCTGTTCTAAGGTGGTAGAAACACAGCAGTTAACCTGAAGACAAAAATCGCTATCCATGTGATGAAGCTTACATTTTAAGAGAAGGTGGCAAACAAGCAGAAAAATACATGGCATGCTAAACGGTGATAGGTGTATCATCTGCATTCGGTGTATGACAAGAAAACTGATGTGGCCAGGGTATGGATGGGATGGAAAGATATGGTGGGAGATTATGCTAGAAAGCAAGTCTGTTGTTGGATGACAAGGCGCCTTATATAACGCTCTCAAAGAATGTGCACTTCACACTACAGGCAAATGGAGAGCCATTAAAGAATTCACTGAAGAATAATATAACTGGATTTGTGTTTAGAACTAAAAGTCTGGTAGGAATGCTGAGAATGAATTAGACAGGGAATAAGATACAGGCCTTATCCTCAGAGACAGTCTAATGTGGGAGACAGTTAAATGCATGTAATACAGTATAATAAGTTCACTAAGAGAAACATGTACCAGCTACACAACAGAGTAAAGGAAATGACCCCTCTGATCGGGGAGGGTTCCCACTTAAATGATCTAAACAAACAAGGGGTCCAAACCAGGGCAATTACAGGAAAGAAAGCTATCCTGTCATTTCTACGAGTACTCATGGAGGGGAATGGAGGCAGATTCTCATCTTAAGGATGCTCTCCTTTGAAAAGGAATTCTCTTCCGGTTCCATAAGATGAGAATGAAGCCCAAGTGTCCAGTGTACTTCCAGACAGTGTGAAAGAGATTCACTTACATTTGTGGAGGACTTTTTATTATTTGTATTCAATATAAGTTAAAAACAACACAAAAACAGTTCACCCACTTCTCTCACCCCACTCCCCACCTCTGACAACCACCAATCTCTTCTCTCTATCTATATGCTTGGTTGGTTTGTTTATTAGCTTCCATATATAAGAGAGATCATACAGTATTCATCTTCCTCTGTCTGATTTATTATAGATTCACTTACATTTGTGTATGACTTCTAAAAGATACATTATGTATTAATTGTGGTCTTGACAAAAATACCTCTGTCACAAAAGAAATACTATTATTTTTTCTATCCAGAGAACAATTCTCCCTAGAAAAGGGACTGAATAAGCAACTAAATTACCAAGTATAAGAAGTCAGAGTGTCTTTTACATAGAACATAATCCACTGTTTACCCATTCCTCATTCTCTCAATTTCTATTCTTGCCAAGCGGCTGTTCTCAAACTTCAGTCTGTACCAGCACTAAAAACACTGGGCCACAAGGAAACAGGCTCCCATTGCCATGAAGACAGTCAATGTAAACAACAACAATAACAATAATGGTAAATGTACATGTGTGTTTATGTGTATATATTTATTCTTGATCAGTATTGTTCCTCCCTGATCAGAATGGTTATTGCCTTTACTGTGCCATGTTGTTGGTACCTGTTTCTATTATTGAACTTACCATACTATATTACATGCGTTTAAACGTCTGTCTCCCACATTAGAGTGTCCCGGAGGATAAGGCCTGTATCTAACTCATCTCTGACTTTAACAGATCTGGCAAATAATAGGTGTTCAATAAATTTAATCTACGTCTTTGTTTACAGTGAAGTAATAGTTTAATTACAGAGGAAATAACAACAATAAAATCTGTAGAGAAAAGCACTTCTCCCCTCCAGAACATTAGTGCATGGCCATGGGAAAGAGGGAAAGTACACAACTAAGTCCATAACCAAAACCCACAGTATGTAACTTTACTGTTAAACACTGACAGGTGGAAAGTCCATGTGGTAACTGAGGGATTTTTATGCTCTATCCTGTTGAGGAAATTCAGTCCAGCTCCTTTATCTCTGCTGCCACTAACCTTAAAACACAGATCTGGTACATAATAGACACAATTAAATATCATTAAAGGAGGTGGCTGTTCTGTTTTGAACACAATTATTTGGCCTGTGTTTTTTCAAACCACTTTACTGAGGTATGGTTGACATATAAAAAGCTGTTCGTGGGGCGCCTGGGTGGCTCAGTCATTAAGCATCTGCCTTCGGCTCAGGTCATGGTCCCAGGGTCCTGGGATCAAGCCCCACATCAGGCTCCCTGCTTGGTGGGAAACCTGCTTCTTCCTCTCCCACTCCCCCTGCTTGTGTTCCCTCTCTCGCTGTGTCTCTCTCTGTCAAATAAATAAAATCTTTAAAAAAAATAAAAAGCTGTTCATATTAATGTCTATAACTTCATGAGTTTGGGGATAAGTATACACCCATGAAACCATCACTACCGTTGAGGCCGGAGACATACTCATCGCCTCCCAAAGTTTCCTCTCACCACCTTTATTCTCGTGTGTAGGTGCGTAGTAAGAACACTTAACCTAGATCTACCTTCTTACCAAATTTTTAGTACAGAATACACTTGGTGATAGGCACTAGGCAGACTAGTAAGTCCTCAGAACTCAATTATCTTGCATAACTGAAACTTTGTACCCTCTGACCATCACCTCCCTATTTTCCCCTTCCCCAGCCCCTGGCAACTATCACTCTACTCCCGATTCTATGAGTTTGACTATTTTAGATTCCTTATATAGGTAAACAGAATTGTTTGATAGGTAAATCCAGTTGCCAAAGTGTTTAGCCTTGATGATGATGGTGTGGGTGGATAGACTGAGGCAAAGGCCCAACTGGAACAGGTTCAAAAAAGAATAGGAGAGGCATTAGAAAAGGCAAGTATAGACAGCTCTTTCGAAGAGTTTTCCAGCACAAGGAACACAAAAAGAGTAAGCAGTAGTGGCGGGGGTGGGGGGGAGGGGCTGGGAGGGGGGTAGTGTGACAAGAACTCAGGACTATCTCGTTACCATTTTTCATCCAATCAAAAAAAATCAAATAACCTAGGTGCAATAATTTATCTTATATTACCTCAAGATTCTCATTTATGAAACAAGGATTATTACATTTGATCCTCCTTTCAGGAGGTCATACTCAAGAATAAGTCATATAAATATAAACAAATACGGTATCTAATTATTGTTCCACTTTAACAACAAACAATAATTGTGCATTTGGTACTGATGAGGAGCAGGGCAAGTGAAGAGTTCCCATCTGTACAGCACTTCATTCAAAAGCTACCATATGCTAGGTACCTGCCATCACTGATTCTGATTCTCTTGACAAATCTATCAGATGGAGAGGAGGCAGACAGCTTCACCTAACAGACTGAGAAATTAAGATACAGACCAACTGAGTGATAGGCCCAGGATCACTTGACTCAATTCATCAATTCATTCAATTCAATTCAACAAATACTTACTGAGCACCTACCACGTGTCAGGCAATTTTCCACATGCTTCAGATATATCAGTGAATAAAAGAGAAAAAATCCCTGACCTCTTGGGGCTGGCCTTTTGGGGCAGGGGTGGAGAGGTAGGCTATAAGCCATAAAAAGTAGAGCAGGGCGAAGAGATGCAAGTATGGAGAGCAGAGCAGGGAAGCAGGCTGCAGACGCAAGAGTGCCCAGCATAGGCCTCCTTCAGAAAAGAGATCTGAGACTCAGACTTGAGTCAAAAGACTCAAAGAAGATGGGGTGTATTACCATTAACTGGAGGAATAACAATCTAAGCAGCAAAAAACAACTACAACAGAAGCCTTTAGGAAAGAGGATGTTGTGTATTCAGAATTAGGAAGCTAATTTGCCTCAAGACAAATGAGAAAGGGGAAGAGTCTGTGAACAACATATCACAGAAGACCAAATTATATAAATCCTTTAAACCATGACTAAGTAACATGAGGAGTCACTGTAAGATTTTGAGTAGAGAAACGATAGAATCTGACATACTGTTATACTTTTTAAAAATTTTTTAAAGATTTTATTTTTAAGTAATCTCTACACCCAACGTGGGGCTTGAACTTACAACCCCAAGATCAAGAGTCACATGTTCTACTGACTGAGCCAGCCAGGCACCCCGACCTACTCTGTTTTAAAAGATCACGGGCGGTTGTGTTGGGAATATTCAAGAAAGCTGCAAGAACAGAAGCAGACAGACTAGTTAGAGGCTACTACATTAAAACAGATGAGAAACACTTAATCCTACCCAGGGGTGACATAAGTGCACGTGGAGGAAATGGTAAGACTCTAGATATATTTTGAAGGTACAGCCAACAGGATTAACTAAATGATTAAATGCAGAGTCTGAGAGAAAAGAGTCCAGAATGATGCCCAAATTTTGGGCCTAAGCAACTGAAGAGACAAGAGTTGCCATCAACTGAGATAAGGAACAGATTTTGGGTGGGAGGATCAGGAGTTCAGTCTTGGAAATGTTCAGTTTGAGATGCCTATTAGACAGAGAAGCAGAGCTAGCTAGTAGGCAGTCAGATATAAAAGTCTGCAGTTCAGAAGGAAGGTCTTGACTGAATGCCGAGAAACTGAAGGATACCATAAAGAAAGTGAGTATGGATAGTGAAGAGAAGACCAAGCACGGGGCCCTGGGCGCTCCAGGTCAGGGAAAAGAAGAGACTAGTAAAGGAGAGGGAAGGAGCAAGCAAGGAGATAAGAAGAAAACTAAGAGAGTGTGAGGAGGTATCCTGAAAGCCAACTGAATCAAGTACAGGGTAGTGGCGGTGGTGGCGAGTTGGGGGGAGATGAGGGAGATCATCAGCTTTATCAATGGCAGCTAGTAAGACAGATGGAGACCGAGAACTGACCACTGAAATAAATAACCCAGAAATCACGGATGACCTTGATGAGAACAGGGTAGAGAGACTGAGGATAAGGCCTAACTGGATCGGGTTTAAGAAAGAATAGGAGAGGAATTTTTTTTCTATTTTTTTTAATATTTTATTTATTTATTTGAGAGAGAGAGCAAGCGAGCACACAGAGGAAGATGGAGAGGGAGACGGAGAGGGAGAAGCAGGCTCCCCGCTGAGCAGGGAGCCTGAAGTGGGGCTCGATCCCAGGACCCTGGGATCATGACCTGAGCTGAAGGCAGATGCTTAATGACTGAGCCACCCAGGTGCCCCAGGAGAGGAATTTTTAAAAGCAAATATATACAATTCTTTCAAAGAGTTTTCCAGCAAAAGGGGAAGACAATAAAAGTAGGCAGTAGTTTGGAAGCAGGGGGCTAATACGGCAAGAGTAATTAGCTGCTGTTTTTGCTTTTTTAAGAAGGAAGAAATGATGAAAAGTATATTCTGATAAAAATGATCCAGGACAGAGTGAAGATCTGCTGAGGTAAAACAAGAAGGGTAGAATAACTCCAGTGATACCCCAGAGTAGGTGAGACAGGACAGAATCAGATCCAGTGTGCCAGTAGAGAGGTTTCATTTAGAAAAGACAATGGATGGTTCGTCTATGGTGTCTTAGTCTGTTTGGGCTGCTCCAACAGAACACCATAGACTAGGTGGCTTATAAACAACAAAAATTTATATCTCAAAGTTCTGAAGGCTGGGAAGTCCAAGATCAAGATACTAGCAAATTCAGTGTCTAGTGAGGACCTGTTTTCTGGTTCCCAGATGGTGCCTCTTCACTGCGTCCTCACACGGTGGGAGCAAAGGAGCTCTCTGGGGTCTCTTATAAGAGCACTAATCCCAATCATGAAGGCCCCACCTCCTAATATCATCACAATGGGCATTAGGTTTCAACATATGAATTTCGAGAAAACACAAATACTTAGTCCATGGCACATGGTAACAGCTAGGCAGGCAGGCAGAGTGTGTGGGTGTGTAGATGCTGGTGTGTGGACAGGGGGGCTGGGGGAGTCTGTGGAAGTTATTTTCTTATTACTTTAATTCTCTTGGTGGAGTAAGAAGCAAGGTCATCAACTAAAAGTGAGTACAGGGGAAAAGGTTTGAGGGCTTGAGAAGACAGGAGAAAGTGTTAAAGTAGTGGTCTGGGAGAGCACAAGTATGAAAGAACTTGGAAGAGACAGTGTGATTGCCAGGCAGCATTAAAGGTCCACTTGAGGCTCATGGTCATGAATTAAAAGTGGGACCAATCGGCAAAGTTGTATGTTTTGTTCCATCTATACACAGTCACATGGATATGAACACAGAGTTGGTGGAGAGCTGAATTTAAGCAAGGTTGGGTTTTACAAGAAAGGGAGAGATACACAAGGGCATGAACATAATGATGAACCATGGAATCTAAGCAAGGGAAGAAGAGGGGTGTGAAAGGTAAGGGATCAACAGACGGGAGGTACCACAGGGTCAAAGATTGTTGAGGTAGGGATTATAGGGGGAATGAGCAGCACAGACAGGCTGTAGTGGTCAGGAAGTGAAATGTTTACAATAGAGATCATGGAGAGAATGCAGTTTCAATAATGAGAAGGTCCAGGGAAGAGTTTCTCACCCTTGGCACTACTGACAATTTAGACTTTGTTCCTGGGCCATCCTGTGCCTTACAGTATGTTTAGCAGGATCGATGGCTTCTACCCACTAGATGCCAATAATACCAGCCCTCAGTGGTGACAATTAAAAGGATCTCCAGACATTGCAAAATCACCCTGAGTTGAGAACCACTAGTCTAGGGTATGACCATGCGGCTGAGGAGTTGAGATCACCGGATGACAAGGAGGTCAAGGAACAGACTGCTGAGAGAACTGAAAGACACACCTATGAGGTGGTTGCAGTTGCCGAGAATTCAGACAGAGGAGTACTAGAGAGAGTGACAGGGAACAGGAGCACATAAAACAGATGTCAGTAGGTGACAACAGTTAGGAGTGGGTGACACTAGCCGATGAAAAAGCTCAAAGCTGATAAGACTATAAGACCTTACCACTATGGCAAGCCTGGTACTAGAACTTTGGCTCCTTTTCTAGGGGTTTTTTAAATGTCTAGAAGGTGGGCAGACTTCTCCACATGATTTCATACTCAATTAAATTAGACTCACAGAGTCAAAAATAGGGGTCGGTCAAAAACAATTGGCACCATTTCTGACTGCCATATATAACAAACAGCTGAAGGCACATATTTTTGGCTGAAGACCATCCTAAAATTAGGACATAACATCTTGATTTTTAAAAAACCTCTCAATTTTCTTTCTGGCCCTTAGAAGGATGTATTATACTGCCTTTGATTAGAAAAGAAACATCTCTTATTAAATGGTTGCTTTTATCTGTTTGCTACTGAGCAACCATAACCAGTGTTTTCTTTAGATAACCAGTCACCTTTACCTTCACATAGTTTAACCACCAAGGAGGACAAAAAGATCTTAATATGAAATGAACCGACTGCAATGCTCTCCAACTGTGTGTCACCTATTCTCCTCTGACTGCCACCTGGAAAGATAGCGTCTCACCAGATTGCAAGCAGATTTAGAGCAAATGCCCAATTTTCATCCCCACCTCTTAAAAGCATATTCACAATGAAAGTGCTTATTGAAATTAATAGATGCATCCCCTTGACAGGAGGAATAGCTTCAAGATGGCAATTCAAATTGTATTATAATCTATTAAATTCTCCCAAATGCAGTCTCATTGCAATAATTAAGTCTTTAAGGAAGCTACAGTCATTCAACCTCCATAAGCCCATCTGCAGAATTCTACCCTGTTATGGTTATACTGAATTTAAATTTTATAATGCATAAATGTGAAGCAGAAAAGATGGTGTTCAAGGAAACACGTGATGCTATCATCCAAGTCCTGCTCAACTTCACAGATTACCAAATCTAATATTTAAAGCTCACACAGAACAACAGTGAAATCTCTCATTTTCAAATCCCCAAATAGAAAGTTGACAAAGCTTAATTGTGATGTAATTATTACACTTTTACATACTGCTTTTATGATGACTAAGGTATTTTCATATATTGATTCTAAATGGGATGCTTTCCTATTAGGAAGAGACAAGATCTTCAGAGTAAAAACCAGGATTTAAACCTCAGCATGGCCACATTCCACTGTTATGTCACTCAATCTATCTGGTTTCATTATCTGTTAAGTGAGGATAATACTAACTTAATAGTTACTGTAGAGAAAAAATTCCCTACAGTATGAACAGCATAGTTCTGACACTTAACAGTTGTTCAATAAATGAACAATTGTCCTCATATTGTGTTGTTAATTAAAACAAGCCTCAGAAAATGGAAACACAATCTTTCTTCTTGAAAGATCAATAAAATATTTTAATTTTGTTTTAATAGATTATAAAGTCAGGCTTATAGCTATTTTAGTCTTTGTTTACAATTATAACACAAATGAACATAAAGAGCAGGTGCCTACCTTCCAAACTTTCTTGTTCATCTGAAGTATAAGCATCCATCTGACTTTGTTCCCGTAAGAAACGAATAACTGCATAAACTAAGTGCTTGATAGATGACATTTTAAAAGCTTAAACACTTTTCCTTGATAAGAAAAACGGAAAACAGCGATCTAAGTTATGTTCAAGAATGTCAGGAAGGTTATAAATAACTAGATTATAAATTACATCAAAAGTAAAAAGCAAAAACAGAACCTCTATTACCTTCATTCTTCTTTTTAAAGAGTCAGGAGAACACAAAGTGTTGTTATGGCAACGTATTACATATTTTCACTTATACCCAGTAGTATTAGATTATGTTAAAACCTGCAAAAGTAAATTTTTCTCAAAACATGTAGAACATAAGCTTAGACTCTCACTGAATATCTCACTGTCTCTTAACAGTATATATAGCGCAGATACAGATCAAGACAGGGGAATAGATACAGATGTAGAAATCCCCAAAAGGCCTCCATACTAAGTTGAGGGAGATTTCATACTGCTGACTCAGAAGCTCATCTACAATGAGCATCTTCCTCTATTTCATGAGATTTTTAAAAATGTATGTATAATTTACCGTGCACCAACTTTTGTAGGGTTAGACTGTTATTTGAGGAGGAAATATATTAATGGAAGGGTGTTCAACCATTGAATGTCATTCTTAATAAAAATGGCATTTCTATTTAACCAAGACATGTCGGAAAATCATTGCCTAAGTCGATGGATACTACACACCGACCAGTGCTCTCTGCAGTAGCTGTGCTCTCGTGGACAAGCTGGAAGCTCCCGGTCATGTTCATTCACATGGAATACTATCGCATCCAAACAGTGGCGCAGGGCCAGCCGGCCTTAATGGCTTATTTCCACTAAATCGCATCATCCATCTGTTCCCCAGGTTCCCTAATCCAAAGCCAGGGTGTGGTACCCACCGCCAGGATGTTTATGGTTCCTGGGCTTATTTTAAAGGCAAGCCCAGTCTTTAGGCCATGGGCTTGCAAGTACTAAATAAGGCCCCAGAGCAGAAGGTGAAAAAAAGAATGGGGGCAGAGAGGGTGAGGAGGAGAAACGAAGATATTCAACCTCCTCCAGGCTTCTCCCCCTTCTTCTCCCCAGAGCACATTGACCTCCTTCTCCCTCCCTTTCTACCCGGGCCTCGTTTTGGCCCAGACGGGGTTTGCTGCGGGTGCGCGGTGCAGGCCCCATCTGGGGCAGGGGGAGAAGCACCCATCCCAGACAGAAGCCCCTTACCAGGCGAGAGGACGCGAGACAGTGGCAGCGGGCCCGGGGGCGTCCGTAAGCCGGGACGCCCGCCCCCTGGTCCTCCGGCTTCAGCCTGGCTCCCGATCGCAGCACTGCCAAGGGTCGCCCAAACTTCCCCGGCTCCCAGGCCGCCGTCGCCCCTCAGCCCACCCGGCTGCGCGCTCCGTTCCCGGCCACTGGGTCTCCCCAGAACCGCCCCCCGGGCGGCGCCAGCGCGCGGGGCGGGGCGCAAGTCGGGGGGCGGGGCCGAAGTGGGCTCCGGCGTGGGGCTGCCGCACGTGGGAGGGCGCGGACACGGCTGGCCGCCGCCGCAGCTGTTGCCTCCTGCGCTAGGCCGCCTCTCGGCTCCCCGGAGCCCCGCATCCCCCAGCCCAGACCCGAGGACAGCGCGCCCGCCGCCGCCGCCGCCTCTCGTCCCTCCCATGATCGCCCAGTGCCTTTCGGCTGTGCGAGGCCTCCACAGGTACCTCCCGTGCGCGGGTTAACCTTGGCTGTGGGCCGGGCGTGGTGCCGTCCGTGCCAGGTGCCTGTGCTCAGCCTTTCCCGAGCGTACCCCTCCGACGCCCCTAGGACTCTGCGCCCCCCGGCCCGCATGCTCTACCCTGAGGGACACCTGGCGCGGACACTTGGGGCCACCTTTCTCTCCTCCACTCCCTCGGGAGGGCATCCATTCCTCTTTGTTTGGGACTGTCTCAGCTGCAGCCAGCAAGACTGATCACAGGCCTGGCCCGAAATGAATGCAGAAAGATGGTTCGGATAAGAAAATCGTTTGACTTCCGCCCCCCATCCAGAACTGCGGACCTCTTATTAAAAGTGCCCGCAGCTGTAGACTCAGGAATAGCAATTCTGATTTGCCCCTCACGCATATCATTAGCATACAAATGGTTTAACAAACGCGCGCGATGAAACCGCTATGGTTTTGCTGCTTATCTCGGTCCATGCTTTCTAATTTCCTTTTTATTTACCTCTTCCCCATAAAACGTTCGGCGTCTTGCTGGGGCCAATTGACTTGGCCCAAAATGGAGGAAATTATTGCTAGGACACGGTTTGGGGCAGCCTCAGCTGCTGTTTTGGATTGCTTCCTAGCTCCCAAGCCACACCCCTCTGCCACAGACCAGTAGCAAGATGGTGAGAGAATTAAATTCTTTGCACGGATGCACTAGATGGAGTGGTTTTCGGAAACAATGCCTCTACCACCCCCATCCCCAAATCCAGCCTTGAACTGTAAATCCTAATGAAGATCCAACAGAAAAAAAGGAAATATGTGTTTCTTGCTAGATACTTATAAAACTACTTTGGAAAATGTTCAGCATTTAAGCTTTTTGACAGTTTTCTATTGTATATGGCAAAAATTACTGAGGATCTAAGAGCTTCTGTTTATGTCGATTATAACTACCCATATTTACCATATTAGAAATGAAAATTAGGGGATTTTTAAAGTATTCATTTATGTAAAAAGAAAACAGTAATAAACTCATTACCTGCACAAATAACATTTTTAATGAAAAATAACTGTTTTCCAAAACTCCTCCAAAAAAATCAGAAAGAAAGTGGAATTGTGGTTTGGTTTCTTTTTTTTTTCTTCAGGTTTTTTTTTATGGTTGTAAAATATACATAATGTAAAATTTGCCATTTTAATCATTTTTAAGTGCACAATTCAGTGACATTAAGAACATTTACGTAGTTGTACAACCATTATCATTATCCATCTCCAGATCTTTTTCATCATCCCAAAGTGAAACTCTGTACCCATTAAACAGTAACTCCTCATGTTCTTTCCCATCCCTGGTAACCACTATTCTTTCTGTCTTTATGATTTTGACTATATTAGGCACCTCATTCAAGTGGAATCCTACAGTTTTTGTTCTTTTGTGACTGGCTTATTTGAGTTAGCATGTTTTTAAGGTTCATCCGTGTTGTGACTTAGGTCAGAATTTTCTGCCTTTTTAAGGCTGAATAATATTCCATTGTATCGATATACCACATTTTGTTTGTTTATTCACCTGTCCATGATCACTTGGGTTGTTTCCATCTTTTGGCTGTTTTGAATATTACTGCTATGATCATAGATGTGCACACATCTGTTTGAGTCTCTCCTTTCAGTTCTTTGGGCATGTATACTTAGAATTAGTAGATCCATATGGTAATTGTGTTTAATTTTTTGAGGACCCACTATGTTTCCCACAGCACCTGTACCATTTTACATTCCTGTCAGCAGTGAACAAGAGTTCCATCTTCTCTGTATCTTCTCCAACATTTTATTTCTGTTTTTTATAAAAACTATCCTAGGAGTGGCATTGTTTTACATTTGTGCAAAACAAATGTGTAACTTAATAGAAAATAGCTGGATTCTTAGATCTGCTTCTGCATTTGATATGCTACACTTTTGTTTTGGTTTAAAAAGAAAATCCCACCTCTCACTTATATGTAGTTGGAAAAACAGGAGTAAGTAATCATGGATATGCTTTGATATCATATCAAAGTTTCACAAGTGGTAGTTTTTTAAAGATTAGTTGCAATGCAGAATATGAAACTATCAGTGTACTTTTCGTATTCTGTTACATTAAAATCCATGGATTTTAAATGGATCTTTTACACGTACATGATTTTCCAATATCAAACATTGGTTACTTGGAAAATCACAGTACACTGTGTTAAACAGATCTTCCTAATGTTGACACATTACATTATACAATATCAAATCATATTCCTTCATATCATCGTCCACTCCATCATAAATGTCTTGAGGTATTCGGAAGCTGGCAAGCTCACACTGGCAGATACAATTTTTCAAAATTCTAATTTTCATTTGAAAGCTGAAATTTTATCAGTGGTAACAAATACTATCCATTCCTCAATGTGACAGGCTCACTTTGTTACATTTTTGAGAGAACTTCCGCTGAATACTTCAGTCTGATCAATCATAGTTTGTCTGTCACTCATCTTTTCAAGTACAAATAGTGTTCCATGAGAAAAGCAGCTGTTTCAGCTCCAATTTAATCGGTTGCACAAGTGCTTTTGGTTTCAGCAACCAAATCTTCTGGACAGTTCTCGTGCTCAAGTATACAGCAGAAGTGCTTTATGCATACTTTGCCACACATATCATTCAGTGATTGAGATTTAATAAAATCAAAGATTTTACTATTTCATGAAAGTGAGATTGACATTTTTAGCATGAGTCGTGGCAGTGAAGAATATAATGACTGTTAAGACAGTCCGGTGCCACTGCCTTGACGTGTTCTAAGGAGCCAACAATTTCATCTACCATTGCTTCTTACCATCAGTACAAATGTCAACCAAGTGAAAAAAGTAAATATCATACTATTATCATGAAGTACTTGTAACCTCCCAGATGACTTGAAATGGTCTCAAGAACCCCTCCCCATATTCCCACCCCCAAGGATGGCAGAACACATCTTGAAAACCTCTGATATGTGTTACTCAGATTCTTTGTCTATGCATGGAAGAAAATAAATATATAAAAAGCCATGCAATTATTATCTTGTTAGAAGCTGGTAACCAACTAAATATATCAACTATTTTGTTACTTAACAGCATAATATTACAGTTAATCAACATATATAGCAGTAGTAGTCATTAACTTATGGCACTTGTGAGTGACTTAATCACAGAATCTTTGTTTCGAACTGTGTCCTCTAAAAAACAGTCAGTACTAGACAATGTGGAAGGCCCTGTGTGTTCTCTTGATTGTATTTTTTCCTGTTTCTTCCTACACTTGGGAGTTCGTTTTAGTGTTTTAAGAGTAACTAGGTTTTTGTTTACTGACTTAGGATTTCTTTTGTGTTTATCTCTTGGTAGAGCTGCTATACCCCCTTCCCAAAGCCAGTTAGACAGCCAGGATGATTGATGGGGTCCTAGGCCAATTTCTTAGGAATAAGGGGACAGAGAATCTGAAAACTGGTTGTAGTTGCCATTTAGATAATCTTGTGACCTTAGGTAAATCACTCAATATCTTGGATCTCTCTCAAGTTCCTTATTTTGTAAAATGAAAAGGACTGGACTCAATGATACTTAAGATTTCTTTCAACTTTTGTTGCCATAGCGATTAAACCAGGTGAATTTCTCCTTTCTCAGCCAGATTACACAGCATATGAGCCAAGCAAAATCTGATGCATACTGTAGAGTGAGGGATGGATGGCATTGTCAACAAAGCAAATAAGAAAGATGACTCAACGATATTTAGTCCAAATTTTATATATTTATATATATATATATATATATAAAATGGCCCTAGTTTCCTCATTCAATTAAAAAAACCATGGTTTTAAAAATTATGACAGCAATGCATCTTCATTGTAGGAAACTTAGAAAATATTCACAAGCAAAAGAAACACAATCCACCCATCCAGAAGAACCAATTGTTAACAGCTCCCAAAATCTTTTCCTCATATAGACACTTTTTTTTTTACAAATATGGGATTATACCATATTTTTATAAGTCTTATGTACTGTAAACATCCTTCCATAATATAGTTACAATGTGGTCCATTTAGGAATGTGTGATAATTAATCCCTACTTTTGAACGTAACAACTTTTTCCACTTCCCGCGATGAATAATAGGGCTTATTTAGATAAATGTTCTTGCTCTTAAGTCTTTTGCCAAATCCTTAATTATTTCATTGGTATAAGTTCCGAGCAATGGAATTTGTACATCAAAGGGCATGTACATCTTCCAGGCCTTTGGCACTTACTATCCTAGTTTTCTCCAGAACATTCCACCAAAATTACCCTCTTACCAGTAGAGTGTGTAAATGCTAGTTTCCTACACCATTACCAACACTGAACATCTTAATAATTTTTACCCGTATCAGTCTATGAAGCGGGAAGTTTTCTTATTATAATTTGCATTGACTTGCATTTTTTTGAGAGTTTATTTGGTGAGCTTAATTCTTTAATGAAAATTCAGGACTTGTGATCTGAAGACCAAAAAAGTTGTTTGTTTCTGATATGAGAATTTATTCATATGGGAAGTCTCAGGAAGTTAGACAAATTAAATTATAGTTATTCATAAATTTAACAATATTTCTGTATCTTAACTGGAATTAAATAAAATTTCAATTGTCCCCCCAAATCCAGTAGCTAGAAACCCCAGAATTTTA